TTATTATACACTCCACAGACCAACTAATTATTCTACCGCGATAGAGAAAAAATTAATGAAATGTTCATTAAATAATAATAGACATAATGTCCACAAGAAAAGGAGCAAAGGTCGAACATTTTACAATAATAACGCAATTTGCTTTAACTAATAACATTACTCCCTTTCGTGTGTTAAAGTATCTGAAAATGTGATAGTCAAAGTGAGAATAAAATTATGAAATTTGCCGTACGAAAACGCAAACTTCTATTACAAATTGTAATGATAGACAGTAATTATAAACTATTTTAAGGAAACTGCTAAAAAAACACCTTGCAAACACTTGGTCTCAAAGAAAATAAATAACTTTGAGATCGGCTTTTATTCGTTTTGGATCACAAACTTACAGACGTATCGCACATACCTGCAGAATCGGTTTTAATGTGTGAAATATGGACTTTACCAACTTAGTTTACACGTTAACATGTTCTAAGTTGTTAAAATGGAAAAAATATTGAAGAAATCGGCATCGCAATATCTGGGGTTTATTTAGATTAGCGTGGTGATTCCCATTTTGGGTAAGAATTGAGAATTGAGATACGCCCAGTATCAGCGTCGAACCCACTACTTCACTTTTATCTAAGAAGTTAACAAGACCCCGTAGAACCCTTTGCTACGGGCGGGATCTATCTAATATCTACCAGGCTTAGCAGGCGTTGTAGTGAACAACCTTCACCCTAGCATGCTGGGATAACCACTGCCATTACAAGTCTAAGACCCACCGGGCAGACAGGAAGAATTCCCACCTGCACCTCCGCGCATCCCGGAGTACTAATTTTTATCACTGGTTGGATGTTCATAGAACAATATCTTCTTCCAATCGGATTGCTTGCACTTCAACGATGACAAGTCATGTTGGTCGTGATTAGGGTTGCCACCCGTACTTTATTATAAAGTATTGTACTCTATTTCGACTGTGCGTACGTTATACTTTACAAGACACATAAAGTACGCAAAAATACTTTATGTAAAGGCCTTAAGTAAACATCGTAATTTTGTAAGCGATTATTCGAAATTCAGAGTATTTTTACATCAATAGTATTGCACAGAAAAATGGCAAGCCATATTTACCGAACAACCTGATTTCCCAAATCTGTTCAAAGTAGTGTCACTTTTGCTGTCCGTTCCGGCCACTTCAGCATTTACAGAAAGAGTATTGTCTGTTAGTTTTAGTTTACTTAAATCTTTGTTTGCCATGTTTAGAGGCTATTAATGTATTTAAGAGCGACAGCAATTTGTTACTGGCTGCTAGGTATAACAAAAAATATGTTTTTAGAAACAAAAAATAAAATACTTTATTTTTATGCTGAGTACTTTTTTTTTACCCTTTTAGTCGAGAAATACTTTATGTAAAGCCCAAGAAAGGTGGCAACCCTAGTCGTAATTCTCATTACCTTGCATTTTCTCCATTACGGCTCCTTTGGGCAAAGATTGAGAATTGAGAAACACTCAACCAGTCCAATGCTACCAGTTTTATCTAAGAAGTAGGTAAAACCCTTTAGAATCTTGTGGTATAGATGGGACCTATCTAATATCTACCAGGCTTAGCAGGCGTCGAAGTGAAAAACCTTTACCCTAGCATGCGGGGTTAACAACTACTTATGCAATCTACCAGTGGCGTAAGCAGGAAGAATTCCCACCTGTACGCAGTGATCAGTGAACCCCTACCACACATTTTTACTAACGATAAGGCTCCGGCCTTTTCCTACTTTAAGTGGGATCCGTTGAGATTATTAACTATACCATATGGGATAATTTTTGTCGACGCAGAGAAAGTACAACTCAGGAATTACGCGCGGAAATCGAAATCCTTAACAAATTCAGACTGGCAACTACAACAGGCTCAAAATTCTCTAGGTTCTGTATCTAAACTAAAGGTGTTTGCAAAATAACAATCAAGAATTGTCTCTTTAATAACAGACTTGATTAAAAAGTTTGCAAACTAAGTAAATAATTTGCATATTATCTGTTTTATTTATCGGAATTTATCGGTAACATATGTCATAAAACCATTACATTCGAGACACGTTGTACATAAAATATGTATTTACATAGGGAAAACTTTCATCGTTACGATCAAAAAGTCGAGTGGTACGTATTTATTTTTCATTTTCTCTTTTGTGCGAGAAACGTCGTCCATGGAATCGTCATGAGAGACGATATCGTTTCTTTGTAAATTATATTCTTCCTCGTTTTGCAACCAAAGACAAAAAGTTGCCTCTTACTTTTTATGACGAGGCAAAGCAAACGAAGTTTTTCTTTAAGACCTGTTCGAAGTAACTGTTTCGTAGCACAGTTTGTGTTTACAACACCATTTAAATATTTTCGCGTACTGCCGATTTAACAGAATATGCGTCACTTACGGGAGACGATAATTAACAATTTTAATCTTAAAAAGATTTATTTTTCGATACAAGGTAAAAAAGTTAAATGGAATTTATGTCACAGTTGATGTTGAAGAGCTGATGAGGAGATGCCTTTCATAATAATTTAAGAATTCTTTCAAATAAAAAAAAATGATAAAATTGCACTTTAGGCACTTCCTATCTTAAAATGAATTAAAAACTCAAAGAATTGCAATAAGTTGTCAAGAATATGCTTTCAGACTTATGTTTAAGATTTTTACCTATATATGAGTACCAGACAAGGAACTATAAATTGTAAGAACACGGTAGTGTGAACCAAATACGACTGGGGAAGTCCCAAATATACATTTGAGTAATGGTGCAACTGCAACAACGAAATATACAGTTTTAATATAAAAAAATCAAGAATGGGAGAAAAACCACTTGTTATAGTAAATTCACAATGAATTAATTAAAAAGCTGATAATTAGTTCAGCGATTAAGTCATTTTCAAAGATTATGGTAAAAATGATACAATCGACAAAACAATTGTTAAGAGTTCTATTCTCCGTTCATCCCCTACTCAAAGCCAAAGGGAATTAAAAGTTTTTTATTATTTAAAAAAAAGCTTGTTTGGCTTGCATTACACGTTCACAGCTACTTATAAAGGTGGGTACACTATGAAAAAGTACCATTGTATCTGTAATAAACTGTTTATGTTTACCTTAGACGTTCGATAACCGGCAGTGTTTACATTCTCCATCGATGTAGATTCACCATACAATTCCACATTGCATTTAGTTTACACTCTAAAACGCCGCACTTATTTATGTGTTTAAAATTAAAAAACGGACTGAATGATAACTATATCAATACTTAGCCCTACCTCGGGTTACTTCCTTCTTCTTTGGTAATTACTTTGGCGAGTAGTTCGCTAATTTGAATTGTTGTTCAGCTCAAAATATCAAAGTATTCTTTGACGTAAATTTAGGGGCACACAAACCTGATAATATGGACAGAGCTTCGTTATATAATGGTATCATTCACTATAGACTGAGTTTTCAAAACACCACCCCTGATGGTGTAAAATGAGAGTTTGCAATATAAACGAAGTCGTGTACAAGAGCTAGTATATAATATGTATATTACAGTAATGATTTTTATTCTATTGTTTAAAATACAACGTGTCTCCATTCCGAATTACCTTGGAACATATTAATAAATAATGGATTCAGTTGAATCCAACGTTTGGAATTCTGACTGTAGAACAATGATATTGACTCAAAACTCAAATTGTGCTTTTTAAGAGACCACAAAAATTTTATGCGTCAGAAATACCATTTGATATCATTAATCAATTTCTGTTCCACTTGACAGCAGATTTATACGGTATTAATATATTTGAATAATTTATTGCTAACTTGAAAGAAAAAATTAAATTAAATTCGGTTACTGGAACAGGTGAAGTGTATCGTTCAGTGTCTATTGGCCTTATTTTGGATGAATATCTAAGCACTCTTTGACGATTGCTTACCTTGACAAAACCTAAATACTCGATTGTAATTTATTTCGAAATGTACATTTTATAATATATTTACACACTTTACATTTTTGGGACAAGTGAATTTGTTGGAATAATGTAGAAACTGTGTTAGTAGGTATATATTAGTTTGCGAAATATTGAGTTATAAAACATTTATAGAAATAATTGAATTGCAAGGAGATATTTTTTGATTTTTTTTTCTATTTTGCTGCCTTGGCTCGATGACGCCCCCTGCTATTTTTTTTAGAAATCCACTAATTTTCTGATTTAATAATACAGGAATTCAAATAAACACAACAATATATGTATCCACGTCGAATGTCTAAACCAGCATTTAAGAAGACGTAAAGATTTTCATATTTTATTATCTGTGTTTGCGGTGACTTTATCTTCTGGGGCATTAGTTGAATAATGGGTCAGAACAGTAGCGGACCTGAGCAAAAGTGGAACTAAAAATTAAAGAATTTTATTTTTGGCACCCATTTGTAAGAATACTCTGATGGAATGACCTAACTTGGCTTGACTAGAGTGGAATCTAAGTATACTTAAAAACTTTCTATCGAAAATCAAAAGTAGAAATATGTATTTTGCATTTTCTGGAATCATATTTCAAAGACATCACAATTCTGACATCTATCGATCTCGACAACAACAGGGTGACCCATGAAAGGGTTTCATTTGTTGATTTCAAGATTTGGAACTCTAAAAATTGACACCGTTTGACTATAGAAATGCTCACGCTGTTTTATTTGGAAACACTTCTTATACTGTCGTCCGTGAAATCATTTACACATAGACGAACGGGACACACACTTTAATGTCTATGTTAAACCGCGAAGTGTATCTGAATATAATATCTTCTCTAGGAAATTGCTAAATAATATTGTACTTGAACTGATTGAATTGCTTCCTAACGTTTCGCTGCTACGAATAATGAGCTTTTTCAAAGGTCCAAATCCATCTCCGATCGATGCTGGATTTGGACAGCTAAGTAGCAGAATATTTTCTGTACAATTTTTTGATGTTTTATCCTGTTTAAAATTTCTTTTCGTACAATATCTTTCCTTTTATAGATCAATTGCTACCACCAAGTTTGAACCAACATATGCCAGACAGGCATTTCCCTGTTTTGATGAGCCAAACATGAAGGCGACATATACATTTCATGTACTGAAACCTCGTTCAGATCCATCATACATTGCCCTATCTAACATGCCTGTCGAGGTAAGTAATCTTCTAGTGTTTCGTAACAGGTATGATAACAAAATAGTAAAAAATTCTCCGCGAGTTTCACAAAGAGAAATTATTTTATGACCTGTTATGGCACTATCAATTGTTAGAAACCACATATAAACTTAATAATTTCTTTAAGCGGAACCCGCCCAAACGTTTTATTATTTTTATTATCACACGCATGTATCATTAAAATGTTACAAAAGAGTATTATTTTTTTATTTGGAAATGCTGTTTTTTTAAACAGGGGTTCGACAAAATCTCATTAAATTTCACACAGTGTGGGAGGTCCAATATTAAAAAAAAAAACACCTCACGCAATCACTCCTTCATCATTCGTAAGATATCCAATAGAATAAATAGAACATCTACATACGTAATACAATTAAGGGAAGTATATTAATTACGTGAGGTCTAAAGGGGAAGGAGGGGCCCCGGCAAAATCTCACCATGGTAAGGGGGGATCCAAATTTTTATAAATACACCACTTAATTAATAGACGTCCCCTGTCGTTGATAAGAACTTTCAACTAATCGCAAAATTGTTTCATTTACCAAAACATCATCAGAAACAAATTAGACAAAGGTTCATTAAAGAATTAATTAGGTACATACTTATAAATATTGATATTACACATACACTTGTATAATACAACAATTAAATTTAAATGTTTTAAATATTTTCATCATTTTCTAAAACCAAAGGTACTAATTGACGAGTGAAATATCTCACAAGAATTTACATTTAAGGATAATGAGGATAATGTGTCCAAATGGCACACTTTTGTTTAGAAAAGTTATACCATTTGTGTGTAGCTTAAGCAAATAGAAATTATTCTTCAAACTACCGTAAGTGTTTACGTAAAAGTCAATAGTCCATCATAAGGCTTTCGCTTCGATCGGTTATGGTATAAGGGGAATTACTCGTTAATTTTTCATATATACAGGATGTTACCACCACAGTGTATTTTTTTCTGGAACAACTTTATAGGTTTACAAACTGTGTAGGTATAAGAATTAAAGTGATCATTAACGTTGTCTATTTTTTGCTTCTATAGATTTCTTCTTGAAACTACAAGGCTTTTTTTGCAGATGCATGTCCTTTTGTAGTTATTTAAAATAGTAGTATGAAAGTGGAATACTTTCTAAAATTGCTAATAACTTTGAAATGTAATGAGATTGCAGTTTTTATCACTTTAAGATGAAATAGTAATATACATATTTACTGATATTAAAACAAATATTTTTTAAGTATTTCGTCTGTGAATCGTTACATTTGATGAATGAATTTTGTTCTTTTTTGCCTTTATATAGATTGATTATGTAGGATTTCGTCTAAATACCCTAACATATTTTCTTATAATTTAGAGTGAAGAAGAAGTTGAAGATGGCATTTTAGTTAACTTTAAAGAGAGCGTTAAAATGTCTACATATCTGGCTAGTATTATTGTGTGCGATTTTAATTATACAGAAACTACTTTTGGCAGTGAAAACAAACCCTTGAGGGTGTATGCGACTCCTGCCCAAATAGGAAAAACCGAATTTGCAAAATGGGTTGCAAAAGGAGTGATCGAATATTTTACCGATTACTTTAATATTCCTTATCCTTTACCAAAGCTTGGTAAGACAGTAGTTTTAATTGCATTACGTGTATTTATAATTTTTCACAGACTAATATACTTTGGCAGATATGATAGCAATTCCAGACTTTGTTTCTGGAGCTATGGAACACTGGGGACTTGTAACGTATAGGGAAACAGCCCTCTTGTACGATAATACTACCAGTTCTACAATCAACAAGCAACGGGTTGCCACTGTAGTAGCGCATGAATTGACCCATAGCTGGTTTGGAAATTTGGGTAGAGATTATCCTGTATTTTCATTAAGAAAGTTTAATTGAACTTTGAAATTTTTAGTTACAACAGATTGGTGGAATGACCTTTGGTTAAATGAAGGATTCGCGTCATATATCGAATACAAAGGTGTTAACGCTGTCTTACCAGAATGGCAAATGGTAAGAAATAATTTGTTTTTGTATTTTTTTTTTAATTAATCAATTACTGCTTTTTCTAGTTGACCCAATTCCTGATCATGGATTTACATCCCGTATTATCAACTGACGCGAAGTTGAGTTCTCATCCCATAATCCAGACTGTTAATACTCCAGATGAAATTACCGCTATATTCGATAGCATCAGTTACAATAAGGTAAAATTTAAACAATTTCGTTGGTTAACATTTTGAATCAATTTTCAGCTATTTCTAAACATTTTAACAATTGTTCAATTTCTTCAATCTTTAAGTATTTTTATACATTTCCGTCAATATATTTAAGGTTTCTGAGAATTACTTTTTTGAAAGTTTTAGTCAATTTTAATCAATTTGTAAAGAATTTTTAATAGATTTGACGAATCTTAATTCGTTTTGAACTACTCTGCAAATTTTCAATCAATTTCTAATAATTTTTGGTCATTTGTAATTGCGGTTTGTATTTCTCGTAGGGCGCCTCAGTACTTCGTATGTTGGAAGACACGGTGGGTCAAGAGAAATTTCGTAAAGGAATTACCAACTTTTTGAACGCCCACAAGTGGGGTACTGCAGTGTCCCAAGACCTATGGAATCAACTCCAAGAAATTGTGGGTGATTCTCTAAACATTACATCATTCATGGACAGTTGGACAGTTCAAATGGGTTATCCCATCGTTACCGTAAAAGTAAAAGACGATAATTATATTCTTACACAAAAGAGATTCTTAACAGACCCAGATGCAGTATCTGATACTTCGTCACCTTATGGGTACAAATGGTCAATTCCTATCACATACATTACTAGCGAAGAGTCTGCTCCTAAAAGGGTGTGGTTTAATCATACAAATGAAAACAGTAAGTGAATATTTTCTGTTATTGTGTGTAATGCTGTATTATCTTGAGTACAGATTGTTCGTATCCTTTTAAATATATATTTCTTGGTACTTTCTCTCTTATAAACAGGTATCTACCACAACTTATTGTTCTTTATTGTTTTGCACGTATTTAGTTACAATTCCAATTCCTTCGGGCGCAACTTGGGTCAAGTTCAATTACAACCAAGTGGGTTATTATCGAATTAATTACAACCGTGACCTTTGGGACAGTTTAACAAGAAACTTTAATTCATTAACTGTGGCTGATCAAACTCATCTACTGGAGGAATCTTTTAGCATAGCTGAAGCCAATTTGTTAGACTATTCTATTCCTTTAAATTTAACAAAACAATTACAATCAGAAACCGAATATATACCGTGGACCGTGGCTTCTAAAAAGTTGCGCATGTTGAAAACTTATTTGACAGATTCTCTTCAGTATTCCAAATTTTTGGTAAGCTAACAATTTTTTTAAATTAAAATGTAAATTATGTAAATCGTAAGTCTACCTAATAAAGAGTGTTTTGAAAATGTTTTAAAAAAATAGTTATAAAATATTAGATCACTTTTTACTTTTAATGGAATAATTAGTGATAAAATATTCACCAAAATAATATAGTCTTTACTTAATGGATTTGACAAATATCTGAACTTTTTAGGAGTATGCAGTTGATATTGTAACCCCAGCTTACAGAAAACTAACTTGGAATGAAAGTTCATCAGATACCCATTTGGAAAAGTAAATTATATTTACTGATCATTACGGTATTCGGTATACAGTAAAGCGTACGAAATATTTTTTTTTAGGAGAGCGCGAGCAACTATACTTTCTCTTGCTTGTGCAATGGGACATACAGGGTGTTTAGCTGAAGCAAAAAAGCGTTTTCAAGAGTGGCTTGCTAATTCAACAGAAGTAAATTTGTCTCAAGACTTAAAAAGTACTATATATAATTATGGTAAGTCTTATATATCCGTTCTTATTTTGTATTTTCTATTTATTTATTTTTACCAAGGTATCGAATCTGCAACCGCCGAAGAATGGGAAAAAATGTTCCAAATTTTTGCAAACGAACTGGATGCTGGAGAAAAACTGAGATTAATGAGCGGTTTAGCATCTATTAAAGAAACGTGGCTATTAAAAAAGTAAGAAAGATTTTTAGATTACAAGTTGGATTACAGTTTCTAAATTAAAAGCACATTTGTAGAAATATGGACAAATATGAACAGTAAGAATTTGTTTCGATATTTCGTTACACTACTAAATTTTTAATTAAATTAATCTTTTGTTCCTTAAATTTGTTGAAGAATTGTCCAAATATTTAATTGAGTATATATGCTATTTACGATCTTGTTTTTAATTTAAGAGGATTCGATATTTGGGCGCAATGACCCGTGTCTAAGATTGATAACATCGATCAAATAGTTTAACTAACATTTCTCTAATTGCTATCGTTGGCATTCTTAGATAACTTAGCAAAGAATTTTACGCCTTTGCTACGTTTCCTTAGGCTGCCAGCAACAGCAGCTGACGAAACATAGGATGCTTCCCCATAGGAGGAAAACCAATTGTGGATTACGGCCATCAAGCCTAAATATTGAGCCCTCATTAGAGAATGCCGACTTTGAGCCTTTTTATTAGCTTTGATTAATTATCATAAATATAAATCATTAATCAAAATCGTATTCAAATGTTTTCATTATATATAACATGTTAATAAATAGCAGATGGTTGTGACGTAACAAAAAATAAAATAAAAATCATTGTACTCTTTTTAGACTTTTAGTCTTGGCTGAGGACGAGACTTATGTGAGAAGTCAAGATTATTTTACTTTATTAAGTTACATATCAAGTAATTCTGTAGGTACAGCGTTGGTGTGGGATTATGTAAGGTACGTTAATTTCTTATCTAAATAGTATAAAATAGTTACTTTGTAATCTTTTTATTTTTTCTTTTAGAGAAAATTGGGAGGCGTTAGCTAATAGGTTTACATTAAACAACAGGTACCTCGGAACTCTGATCCCCAGTATAACTAATACTTTTTCAACAACAACAAAACTTAATGAGGTAAAAAGTAATTGTGTATTATATTTTAAACATGTAGTCATCTAGTTTTTAATGTATAGTGCTGTACATACTTATAGCAACTTATTAATTATTGTTTTTTAACGTTTATAGTGTTAATAGCAGTTAAAAAACTAAAAAACACCGTGTTATAGTATTTCTGAGTCGGCAAAAGACTACTTACATATATTCTGTTTTTATTAAAATAATGATTTTCTTCTGCAATTATTTGGTTATGCTAGAATACTTCTTATAATGAAAAATGAATTTTAGATGCGAACGTTTTTCGAGCAGCATCCAAACGCCGGTGCAGGGGCACGTTATCGTACTCAAGCTCTAGAAACTGTTCAAAATAACATTAAGTGGTTAGAAAGAAACAAGGAAACTGTAGAAAAATGGTTGGGAAATTATCAGAAGACGCAGTCATAATAAACTGCGAAAATTTAAAGGCTGTCTTTATGAAATGTACACTTATTTTATTTAAAATATCTAATAAAAAACTTTTATAAAAAAACTCGTATCATTTTTGTTTTTCTTAGAAAAAAAGGCGGTTTTTCATTTATTCAATTTCTGTTCCACTTGACAGCAGATTTATACGGTATTAATATATTTGAATAATTTATTGCTAACTTGAAAGAAAAAATTAAATTAAATTCGGGTTTGTGCTATTATATTACATTTATCATAATGAAAATTAAATACTGACACATACATTTATCGTTCCATTACATATTGGTATAGTTCGCTAAATTACATAGCTGCAGAAAAATGTTTGAACAAACTACGCAATAAGTCAAGAATTATTTTACAAAATGATTGTGAATAACTTATCGCAAACAATAAAAGAAATATGTGACAAGTAAGCTAATCCATCTTGCAACAAATAATCACAGAAAAATAGTTGTGTACGATAAAGCTTAATGAGACTGAAAACGGCTACATTTGATGACCCTATAAAATTAAATCAAAGTAATACAGCAAAAACTACTCAATAGGTCTACAAAAATCATTTAGTTCTCTTTCTTCATTCGAGTACTGGTCATTCTATAAATGATGGAGTCACGTCCAGGGTCCATGTCTCCAATTACAACAGATATAGCAAGGAGAGTAAATGCCATTATTACACTGAACCATAAAATAATGTTGAATATGACAGGGAAATTTTCGTTATACGTGGAAGCAAGATTTAAATCATCAAACTGTTACAAAAAACAGAAAACATTATTAATATACAAATTAGAAAATTTTATTTCAGATGTGGTTTTTCAGGAGAATGATGAAAAAAGCGTAGATGGGAAGATATTAGAAGGAATATGAGCACTATCTATGTCAATAAATAAAAAAAGAGATATGATGGATGAGACACTAAGGGCTACATTAGATTTTTGCTTATAGTTAAAAATGTGGATTGTTGTAGTTTTTACGAAATCGAAAAATTGACACAGGACAGGAAACAGTGGTGTCCTATCAGTCTATGAACCCTATGATGCTGATATAGAAATGAAAATATACAAAAAATTGAACTTACTGAATCTGAACCTTCTTTTACTTCATTAGAAGTAGCTCGAGCTACCCTTTTATGACTTATTTCATTTGTTAACACATTTACAAGGACATCACCACTATACAACTTTTTGAATGCACTCTGTAAACGGGCAATAGCATCCAACAAAAGAACCTTAGCTTCATTGGCTGCTGTAGAGTTTTCTCCATGAAAATTAACCACACTTTTGTATGCAGAAAATTTAAACCAAAAGACACTTGGGGCTGGGGAACGTTGGTAGGCCCCACTTTCAATCTATAAAGAACATAAGACATAGCAAGAAAACTCAGAGTTCAAACAAAATTTTATGACCGTAAGATTATATTAAAAATTTACTTTCATCTTCATTTTTAAATTTACAGATAAATTTATATACCTTTTCTGTTATAGCATTCAGCAACTGAAGTTCATTAATAAATTGTCTGTCTTCTTTGAATCCAACCTTTAAATGCTTGTACTGTTTTTCTGGTTCCACAGATTTGATATCATTCAGAAAATTATAGGACTGAATCTAAAAATACACACTTAACTACTAATAATTTTTTTTGCCCCCTACGTTATGACAAGAAAAGATTAAAAGATTTGTACCCATGATTAAATAACATAACAATAACAAAACAAAATAGAATCTATAATATAACTTACTGAATCTAAACCTTGGCTCAAATCAATTCTAATAATGTTCTTTTGAGCATCTGGATCTTGCTCGTAAATTCTTGTTTCCAGGGCTCCAAAAACATCAACTTCTGATTCATCAGCATTGAGTGGAAAACTGATCCCTTTACCATTATCTAAATCTGTAATACCATCAACTGCTATTGTAACGATAGACTCTGCTAAATTGAATGGATCAGTAAAATACATTCCTGACCATTTCGATGACTATAAGAAATGTTTAAAAGTACAAATCATGTAAGGAAGGCACAATAATAGTCAAAACTAACCTGAAAAATAGGTTGCCCTAAAGCAGCAGAATAAACTTCTTTCAATAGACTTTCGTCTAACTTTTCTTGTCCCTTAAATTGAATACTTTTTGGAGCATGAAGCACTATGAATTCGCCACTGCAGTAAACTAAAAGAATTTAAAAATTATAGACATTGCTTACGAAATGTTGAGAATAAACATTTGCAGAAATTATATAAGTTTAATTAATAACAATGTTTTGAACTTACCAGAGGCTAATAAATATGAAATTAAAACAGAAACTTTGATCATATTTTCCAGATTAAGTACCTTTAAACACTGATAATGAAAATCGCCCAACCTTACAATCATATGACTGACATCATAGACTGACATATGATTATCTATGCATATGATTGCATACATTGCATACTATGGATTGATCATAGGTGATCATAGTTAAGATATCGAGTTGTGGGAAACTAGCACCCAATATAAATAATCCACTGATCCAAACCTCATTAATAAATTGTGCGTCGTTTGCTGGTTCTAAATATGTAAGTATCATAATTGTGCATCTATTATTTATGTTAAAAAAAAGGAAAATTGTTTCATTCATGTTGAAGTTTAAGGTTACTTAATAGATTAAAAATATATCTATAATACTTACCATCGACATACTTACCATGTCTATGCCTCTTACTATATACGTACTATGGGTTATTTCTATTATCTATGGATTATTTGCACTTGTATAATTGTTTGAATAAGGTCTTTTATGAATATTTTGTATATCAAACAATTAATGCAATTAGTACTGTTTTGAGGCATCTCTCTATCAATGTTTATTATGATTTGTTTTATGTGGGAACTGTATAGTGAAAAATAGGGCTGTGACCAGTACGGACACAAACAAATTTAATCAAAAGGTACGATCATTTGAATTTGATGAATGAACTGTTTTTGCAATAAAATAATTGCACTGATGTTCAACTGTTTTGGTATATTCTTATCTTGTTAATTTAATAGTGTATTTAATATATTTTTGTTGTGTTTTTCAACACAGTTTGACTTGTGAATGAGATGAGATATATTTTGCTTTTACTGATACCTGGATGGTACCTTTCTTGTGGAACTTCTTTACCTTAAGATATTAAGAATACATAGAATAAGGAAAAATTCAGACAGTATGAGAGAAAATTAATTCAAAATTTATAATTCTTTTCTTTCATGCACAAAAATCGAAAGAGGTTCCGTGAAACAAAGGACCAAATACCTAAAATTCTACATAAAACGGTATTATTTATTTGGCTAAAAGGTTCCTATTTTTTTTAAAACAAAATAAATGTAACATATATTATGATAAGATACAGTATGCAGAATTTCTGGTTTTAAATGTTAATTTGAAATTAAATAGTTTGAAGAAATGGTAACTATTAAAAAGACAATAATCCTCCTTTTTTGAAGTATGCTAAAAAGAAAAACAATTCCCAATGCAAATTTGAGGAAATTCGTTAACACTTTTTATATTCATGTGCACATTGGAATAAATTAAATAGGAGTTAGTACCAAAAGTATATTTATATGCTGTTAAATTTTAAGTTTTAGGTAGAGCGTAAATAATCGACAATTTCAAATGTAACGCAGTTTTTCGTTAAAAAGCAAATATTTTTTCAAAATCTTCATAGTTTATTCTGTTATCGATTTTAAGAATATAAATAAAATTTTAACTTTTTCTCACGCGCGAAAACTAATTTCAAATATTACAATTTTTGAACAATTATCAGTATGCAATTAAATTTACACTGGTGCATGAACGGTTGCATATGAAATGTTTTTCTTTAACATTATTTTCTTTTTTTTGCAGTTTTTCGTTTCAGAAGTGTCTGTATTCACAGCGGTTTAGTACTTTGACTGCTTAGTAATAAATNTAGAATTTATTAGAATTCTGTTTAGTAAATTATATTCCTGGAACATTTAGCGGTGTATGTAATAATTAAAATTCGAGGGATAAAAACATTTTTTGAATTATGAAATAACAAATACTTAAACTTTTGTTGTTTCTTTTTCGGGCTAATTTAGTTATTTTAATAACAGTTTATTTAAGAACAGGTGTTTATAAAACGTATTATAGACATTATAATTCGTCACTCCAAAACTTAGCACTATCCCAAAAAACTGTAAAAGTTATATATTTTTGATATTAAAAAAGAAAAGGGTTCGGCATTAGTTTAATATTGTAATAGGTACGTTTTTTAATAGGGAGGCTAAATTAATTACATCTGAATAGTCTCAGAATATTTCATTTTACAGGTGCATAAAAACTCGGGATGACATGTGTTACAACAATTAAAAGTAGTAGGCAGTTTCCGTTTTCCGATAGCTTGCATTTCCGGCAGTGTGAATGTTAGCTTAATATTTAATACATTTTAATTTCTTTTTTAAAAATTGTTACATAAACTACCTATATTATGACTTTAATTTGAAAGTCAAAAGAATAGTGATAATGATTAAATATTCTAGCAGATGTTTATTTTGCTTATTAGTTAATGGTACATTGTGGATATATTATTTTAGCAGTAACCTTTAAAATATTATTGATTAAAAATACTTAATTATTTTTTTGTCTATTTCTACAGGTTGGCTAACAAATCAGAGAGATTGGGATGTTCATTTTGACCCTACCGATGACGACATGGGATGTCTGACCTGGTATCACCATGGAATGTTACATTCTACAGCTACTTCAGGTAATAATATTAATAAATAAAATTTTTTATTAATTTGGTGTCAATATGGTTAACAAAAGAAGTGGTAGAACATAATGCATAGTATGATGAGTATATGTTACTTCGTTGTATCAATCCGTTACATCGTCCATTATTTAGTTGGGGTTGTAGATAATTGCGAACTTAAAATATATAAATCGAAACTTTGTCTAAAAAGGCTTGGTTGGCGTTTATAGCTCCACTACGTTTTGCTTATTTTGTCCCAAAAATTATTAAAGAACATAGGTTTGCATTTCCAATATCCAATTTAATTTATTAATGTTTTAAATTCTGGTATNTTAGAAAAAAAGGCGGTTTTTCATTTATTTTTCTTTATTACCTAAAATGTAACAAATACAACATTAAATACCAATCCTTTAACAACTGAAATGATGTTCATATACAATATCACTTTAAAGTAACGTTTGTGCTATTATATTACATTTATCATAATGAAAATTAAATACTGACACATACATTTATCGTTCCATTACATATTGGTATAGTTCGCTAAATTACATAGCTGCAGAAAAATGTTTGAACAAACTACGCAATAAGTCAAGAATTATTTTACAAAATGATTGTGAATGACTTATCGCAAACAATAAAAGAAATATGTGACAAGTAAGCTAATTCATCTTGCAACAAATAATCACAGAAAAATAGTTGTGTACGATAAAGCTTAATGAGACTGAAAACGGCTACATTTGATGACCCTATAAAATTAAATCAAAGTAATACAGCAAAAACTACTCAATAGGTCTACAAAAATCATTTAGTTCTCTTTCTTCATTCGAGTACTGGTCATTCTATAAATGATGGAGTCACGTCCAGGGTCCATGTCTCCAATTACAACAGATATAGCAAGGAGAGTAAATGCCATTATTACACTGAACCATAAAATAATGTTGAATATGACAGGGAAATTTTCGTTATACGTGGAAGCAAGATTTAAATCATCAAACTGTTACAAAAAACAGAAAACATTATTAATATACAAATTAGAAAATTTTATTTCAGATGTGGTTTTTCAGGAGAATGATGAAAAAAGCGTAGATGGGAAGATATTAGAAGGAATATGAGCACTATCTATGTCAATAAATAAAAAAAGAGATATGATGGATGAGACACTAAGGGCTACATTAGATTTTTGCTTATAGTTAAAAATGTGGATTGTTGTAGTTTTTACGAAATCGAAAAATTGACACAGGACAGGAAACAGTGGTGTCCTATCAGTCTATGAACCCTATGATGCTGATATAGAAATGAAAATATACAAAAAATTGAACTTACTGAATCTGAACCTTCTTTTACTTCATTAGAAGTAGCTCGAGCTACCCTTTTATGACTTATTTCATTTGTTAACACATTTACAAGGACATCACCACTATACAACTTTTTGAATGCACTCTGTAAACGGGCAATAGCATCCAACAAAAGAACCTTAGCTTCATTGGCTGCTGTAGAGTTTTCTCCATGAAAATTAACCACACTTTTGTATGCAGAAAATTTAAACCAAAAGACACTTGGGGCTGGGGAACGTTGGTAGGCCCCACTTTCAATCTATAAAGAACATAAGACATAGCAAGAAAACTCAGAGTTCAAACAAAATTTTATGACCGTAAGATTATATTAAAAATTTACTTTCATCTTCATTTTTAAATTTACAGATAAATTTATATACCTTTTCTGTTATAGCATTCAGCAACTGAAGTTCATTAATAAATTGTCTGTCTTCTTTGAATCCAACCTTTAAATGCTTGTACTGTTTTTCTGGTTCCACAGATTTGATATCATTCAGAAAATTATAGGACTGAATCTAAAAATACACACTTAACTACTAATAATTTTTTTTGCCCCCTACGTTATGACAAGAAAAGATTAAAAGATTTGTACCCATGATTAAATAACATAACAAAAACAAAACAAAATAGAATCTATAATATAACTTACTGAATCTAAACCTTGGCTCAAATCAATTCTAATAATGTTCTTTTGAGCATCTGGATCTTGCTCGTAAATTCTTGTTTCCAGGGCTCCAAAAACATCAGCTTCTGATTCATCAGCATTGAGTGGAAAACTGATCCCTTTACCATTATCTAAATCTGTAATACCATCAACTGCTATTGTAACGATAGACTCTGCTAAATTGAATGGATCAGTAAAATACATTCCTGACCATTTCGATGACTATAAGAAATGTTTAAAAGTACAAATCATGTAAGGAAGGCACAATAATAGTCAAAACTAACCTGAAAAATAGGTTGCCCTAAAGCAGCAGAATAAACTTCTTTCAATAGACTTTCGTCTAACTTTTCTTGTCCCTTAAATTGAATACTTTTTGGAGCATGAAGCACTATGAATTCGCCACTGCAGTAAACTAAAAGAATTTAAAAATTATAGACATTGCTTACGAAATGTTTAGAATAAACATTTGCAGAAATTATATAAGTTTAATTAATAACAATGTTTTGAACTTACCAGAGGCTAATAAATATGAAATTAAAACAGAAACTTTGATCATATTTTCCAGATTAAGTACCTTTAAACACCGATAATGAAAATCGCCCAACCTTACAATCATATGACTGACATCATAGACTGACATATGATTATCTATGCATATGATTGCATACATTGCATACTATGGATTGATCATAGGTAATCATAGTTAAGATATCGAGTTGTGGGAAACTAGCACCCAATATAAATAATCCACTGATCCAAACCTCATTAATAAATTGTGCGTCGTTTGCTGGTTCTAAATATGTAAGTATCATAATTGTGCATCTATTATTTATGTTAAAAAAAAGGAAAATTGTTTCATTCATGTTAAAGTTTAAGGTTACTTAATAGATTAAAAATATATCTATAATACTTACCATCGACATACTTACCATGTCTATGCCTCTTACTATATACGTACTATGGGTTATTTCTATTATCTATGGATTATTTGCACTTGTATAATTGTTTGAA